TGTAGACGTGGCACTTCAGGACATGGTTTGGGGGACATAGTGGTGTTGGGTTAACGGTTAGACTTGATGATCTTGAAGGTCCTTTCCAGATTCTGGGATTCTGTGATTCCTTTGTCTGCAGGCTATACTTGCTGGTTTCCAAGGTATATGCATTTAGGGTCAGGGAGTTAAACAAAATAATTACTTTGGGAATATTCAAGTTGGGGCAGGGGGAACAATGTGTCAGTGCTGAAGCACTTGGTTATAAACTGGCTTCCATAATGTGGCTGTACCAGGTGATTTCTCTGATAGACTCAATGCTGGTTACATTATTGACATATTGCATGACCATAGTGGCTTAGGTTTTTGTTTTATGAAGGAAAATTATGATACTTGCCTCACTGGGGACAGCCTGTAGATTAAAATTTTTTGTAAATCTCACTGACACTTACTGGTATGACAGTCTTTCCAGTTTCGTTCCTGTTCTAGTAGGTGCAGTTTTACCAGCATCCTCCACTAACTCACCTTGTCAATTCCAAAATCAACTGACAAAACTTGCAGCTTGTTTTTGGGACACTTATTTGAATGGAGCACCTAAAAGAGTGTAATGAAGATTATTTTTTAAAAAAACACAAGACTAATGTGTAGAGCAAACCTGAGGCTTCTGAAATCAGCACATTCTGACTGAAGAAATACCTTAAGAACAAATCATCAGCTTGCTTTTGAAGATAATTACCAGAGTAACTTCCTTAGTTATTTCCAAGTGAGTTTTTGTGTGTTCTTCTGAGAGGTCTTTTTGATAGCAGCCTGAAGATTTTAGCTGGGAGTGTGCCTCTTTCCTGGGTGTTAGGAAAAGGATGCTTTTGTAGGGTGGAGTGGATAGGATATTTTGCCCTGTCTAGTTTTCAATGCATTTGAAAAGCTGTTGTTCAGATGGAATTCAAAGTAGTACTCCAGGCTGCCAGCAAAATCTGCTCAGCCTTTAAAAAAAAAGGCAGAATTAATTTGAGTGAAAAAATCCTTACTGATTATTTTTTTCTCTTTTAATCTTACAGCTGATTGCAATGCAGTTCTTAAAGCTCTACAGCCCATTTTTCAGGAGCAGGGAATGACAGAGACAGTTCATAACTGGGAAGACCATGGCTATTTAGCAACCTACGTTAAAAAAAATGGCAGGTGAGTGGACTTTCTTTTCCTTCCTATAGATTATGTGGTGTTGGGTTAACGGTAGAAATATGTATTCCTCCCTTAGAAATATGTATTTCTCCCTGTGTTCGATCCCCTTCTGGGGTAGAGGCAGGGCAAACCGTTCTCTTACCAGCCTTGTGTATGAAGCAATGAAAATAAGGCAGAATACTGTTGATAATCTTGCCCATGTCATCTTGCAGTTTGACCAATTCAACTGTTATCATAAACAGCCTGGGCTGTATTGAGGCAGTAACACTGTGTGGTATCTTTGCTGTCAGGGCCAGTCCTTCCAGATGCAAGACAGCTCAAGTCAGTTACATGTATTTGTAATTCTTCTGGCAATTGAATATGTCTAAAAATGTTCAAGTCTAACCTGAGCACGTGAATGATGAAAACTTTGTATCTCTGTCTTTAAAACACTTTATTATACACTTCAAATTCTCAAGCAGCTACTGAAGTAACTAATGGCATGACAAAGGTAGTTGGTGTCATTAGGGACACTTGCATAAGCAGTACCTGCTGGGATAAACTTGCAAGCAAAAACACATGAATTTTATTTCCTGAAGCTGCTTTACAGTGTCAGGGTTAGTTACTGTATACATTTATCTGACAGTATTAATACAGTAGTTATAAATAAGCACTTCACTTGTGTTCAGTTATTCAATTGTTTTTGACATCCTTTGTGGCAGTTGCTGCTTTTGTTCTTTTTGAAATCTGTACTTACTTCGGTGTTCTTCAGGATTGGAGTTAAACTAATTAAGCTTTAATTTGTTGTCTCATTTCTCCTGGGTGTTCTGTTAAGCAGCTCATCTGGCCACACTACTAACATATGAGAACTGCTTAAGGATTTTTAAGTTCTCTCTGTACTGACAGAGACCTGATACCTCTAGAAGAAAAATCAGATCCTAGGAAGGTGTGCCTGCTAGAATTGGTATCTGTTTACTATGCATGAATATATTTGTATGTACATTCCTATATGCATTTTATATATAAAAGCAGTGTAGACCAACTATGCTGGTAAACTTGGGGCCTGACTTAAGGTAACAAGTAAGCTGGCATGAGTCTAGTCCTATGTTTCTATCTTTCCCAATCACGCTTCATGAAGTCCTTGGTACATTTTAGACAGCTTGTGAAATGTGACACTGGCTTCTTCTGATGAAAAATACTTCATTTTTTCACTTGATGTGCCTAGAAAAACCTGCTACCTGTCTCTTGGTTTTGTACAGTCTTTCTTATTCTGTGCATGTGGGAAGTGGGGAGAACAGGATGCTGTTTCCTGAAAGCCCACATATAATAGATGGGCTTCAGCAATTGCTGAGCATTCATACTGGCTTCTAAATGTGTTCCTTCCTGTGTGTTTTACTGTTGTTGATCTTTCCAGCAGCATGACACTTGGAATCATCCAACTTCCCACTGTGCTACTACAAGCAACTTAAGCTTTTGCACCAGAGGATAGTTCACAATATTCTTACTGCTGTGGGAAGATGAAGATGGGGAGTTGGGCCTAGTGGTCTTCCTGCAGTGAAGGGATGGTCTGTTACCTTGGGTCTCAGCCTTACTTTTCTCATGCTGTGTTCCAGGGCACGCAATGCATACAGTCAGCTTGATGTAAAATGCTTCCCTGGTGACTGCAGCAGAGCCCTCATGTCACTTCAGATGCTTTGATATGGTAGTTGGTGGTTGAGGGAGAAACCTCACTGTCTTGGCCACAGGAGTATCATGTGGGCCAGAGGGAGAGCTGGGGCTAAGTGGTGTAAGCATGGATGTGGCCTGCCTGTTGTCAAGGTGAGTTCAGCTCCTTGAGCCCTCCAGGCTGAGTGCAGCCAGTTAGTCACGTATTGGTTCTCATTTGTTTAATAGTATCATATGCTAGACATCCTTTAGACTAGTGCTGTTCATATTTTCAACTCCCAGTGAGAAATATGATAGAGAATACTGAGTTTCAGGAAAAAATGTGGACTTAGACACCTCAGAACTTGGAGCATTTTTATGTAAGACATGAACGGACTTTCTACTACTGCAGCACCATCTTTGCCTTTCCTGATTTGCATAGGTGGATTGACTTGTTCAGTCACTTTCCACTTGACATGTTTTTTTAGCAGTCAGCTGTAGAAGTCTCCCCTTCTCCTGTAAATATGCAGGTGCCACAACTGTGCCTCTCCTTGTGTGTCCATGTGTACCAAGCTTTAGTGTCTGCATCACTAATACAACCATGAATGTGCTTCCCAACAGACGTGGTTAACTGTGCCAAAAAGTTCTAGTTGAGCCTGGTTTTAATATCAAATTACTGTTGTCAGTAATAAAATTAATTTTAAATCATGTACAAGTGTTGTCAGTTCAAAATTACATCTGTTACTGAAGACTTTTAACCCTTATTTCATAAGTTCTTAAAGTTCTGATATAATACAGGTCTGGAAATAGTTGAGCTTCTAAGAGAAGCTATCCAGGAGAGTATCCTAAATGTAATAAGGAGTTGCAGTTTGTGATGCGGCCTCAGAAGTGAGGAGTGAACAACAAGGGTGCACAGAAGAGCTGAATATTAAGAGGAGATCGTTCACTTTGCAAACGGCTGTTTTTTCTGGTGCACTGTTAAATGTAAATTAATAAAGACTGGTTATTGCTTTCTTTTGATATATTCATTGTCATTTAAACTCCAGTGCATACTGGATTTACTTCTCTTTGAAATCACTCACTTCAGCTAGTCAACTTACTGTCTATGGTAGTGTGAGCTAAAGTACTCTTCTGTGCTTTGCCAGCCCCATTGAAAAAAAATCCCACAAACAAAAAAACACCCAAAAGCAAACACCAAGCCACACTAAACTGGGAAACAGTTGCATGTGCAGGAGAACTTTCTGTGAGTTTTAGCACCTTAGCAGTTTTGTTTTCTAGAGTTTTCAGATGACTTAAAGAAACTGCATATACTTTTTTTAAGGCAATCTTTAACAAATATGTTGTTTATGTCAGTTGGTGCAGTTTCAGGTAACTGAAATTAGTGTGAGAACACTGAGACTAACAGACTGGACAGTTAAACCATAAAACAAACATGAGTGGTAAGAATGAACTGGTGAGCATACAGGGACCTGGGTTTGTTCAGTCTGGAGAAGAGGAGGCTGAGGGGAGACCTCATTGCTCTCTACAACTACCTGAAAGGGGGTTGTGGTGAGGTGGGTGTTGGCCTCTTCTCCCAAGTAACTAGCGATAGGACAAGAGGAAATGGCCTCAAGTTATGCCGGGGTGGCTTAGATCAGATATTAGGAAAAATTTCTTCACAGATAGGGTGATGAAGCATTGGAACAGGCTCCCCAGGGAGGTGGTGGAGTCGCCATTTCTGGAAGTGTTCAAAAAACGTGTGGATGTGGTGCTTCAAGACATGGTTTAGGGAACATGGTGGTGCTGGATTAATGGTTGGACTTGATGATCTTGAAGGTCCTTTCCAACCTTAGTGATTCTGTGATTTGACACTAACTAAATAGGCTTTATTTTAATACTAGCAATTTTATTTTAGAGACCTAAATATATGAATCTTATGCTAATAAAAGTATCTGACATAACTAGGAAGAAATTAGCTGGGGCCTGCAGATTCTTCCTCTTCCTTCCCTGCAAAACAGTATACTTCTAGAAATGAAGTAGCTTGTAGTAAAAAGCACGAGAAAAGGGGAGGGTAGGTACATTACGAGCAGATGGCTGAGTCTTACTGGGCACAAACATTCCCCAGGATGAAAGATGCATGAGTTGGTGCTGTATGTGAGTAGATTTTAGTCAGTATGCACATACACATTTTTTAGCTAGCTGGAGGTGACTGGGCAAGACAAAGATGCACAGCTGATGTAACAAGCTGGGTACTAATCTCAAGGGGAAAAAAGGTTGAGGTGAGATAATATGTTGCTAAGCACTGTTTACAATCCAAAGTCTGCAGAGATAACCCCCGTAGCCTGCGGGGTGCCCCATCCTACAGATTGCTGAATTGTGGGCACCGCTGTTGACAAAACTTTGTCTCTGACAAAGACACCGTGTGAACAGCCTAGTGGAGGGCTGCGATTGTTAAACGAATTGGAACTGATTTGGGGATTAAGGGATGCTTTCCTGTTGTCATTACCAAAGCAGCAGATCCCCCTTCTCCTTTGTCTGAAGTTAAGCAAGCAAAAGTCGCATGTGGCAACTCTACCTGGTCCATTTATTTTGTGATTTACTCTAACAAAGGACCTAATTGAGGGAAGTTCAACTGAAACATTTACTAATGGGATTGTCAACACAAGGCTCTAGAGTTGGGCAGGAAATGAGTCACCTGAGCCCCTAGAGTCCCCGTGTGTAGTGATGGGGTTGGATACACTTCTCCGTGCTTTGCCAGATCCCTTGCCCCGATACGGGTTGGGGAACAGTAACGCGTGCAGGAGGGGATCTCTGTCTGAGTTTTGGGGCTCCAAACTGAAAAAGTCGGCACATAAATCTATCACCACTAGTCTTGTTTCCCTGAGCTGTGTGTTTTCAGATCTCTTGCAGAATGTTTTCAGGATCGCCTTAAGCAGCGTGCTTTTACTGAAGTGTTGCTTACTCTAGCTTAGACTGCACAGTTAAAAAAATGTTAGGAATGTGAAGGCTTTATCTCATTTAACTCATCTGGTACTTGTGCAGAGTTATAGACCCCAGTGTATCTTAACAGATTAAAAAAAGTTATTAAATCCAGGGTAAGGAGAAAAAAATCATTAAGGCTAATCTTTGGAAACTGTTGAATATCTTCTCATCTAATACTATATTTTAATACCATCACTGCCTGTAGACAAGTACTCTTATGTTGCATACTGTGTACAGCTACCAGAGCTTTTCTTGTCCTTCGTGCATCCATGTTCGTCTTTCGTCATGTTCTACTTGAAAGTTTTTTAAAAACCCACAAGATCTGAAACCTGGAGTCACTGTTTCTACAGTAGAAGATGTCTTTTCTAAAAGCTTTGACCTCCTCTATAAACACATCCATTTTTAGCTTCTGTTCTGTGTCTGAATGCTTGTTTAGAGAAGTGTAATCCTACTGGCATTTGACTTCACTGTTCACAACAGTGCAAGATTTACCCAGTTGAAGTTGGTTTGTATGTCATTGAGATGATGAGTATGTTAACACCATGAAGAGTGGGATGAATGTTTTTACTTTTTTCTTTTCTATGTTAATCTTTTGCTAACTGTTCTACGTGCTAGTCAGCATTATTTTAAGGGAGCAGGATGAACGTTCCTCAGCTCTTTATTTCAGGCTAAAAGTGTTGTAGTTTGTGGTGTTACCGAGAGTGCAAAAATGGGCTGAAGAATTGGAAGCAGTTGCTAGGATTTGGCAACAGTGTTGAACTGTGGTAGCTTTTGCTAGTTTAGTTCCTTTATTTTGTAAAAAGAGAACAGAAATAATGGTGTAGTGAAAAACTGCTAGCTTAGTTCTTTAAGGTCCCTAAGTGCTTTGTAGTTAAGATGAAGAGCCTTTTAAAAAGAGACAGTATGCTTTATTGAAACAATGTGACTTTTTATAAGCAGATTTTCATTATGAGTATTTGACAGGTGATGCTTTTATTGGTAAACTATTTTTCAGATACCTGAACTATTCTATCTATTCTATAGTGACTCAAAGTTAGTCTGTTAGCATATAAAAGCTTTGGGTGAAAAGAAGTTTATAGGTACCTGTCTGTCTATCCAGTTTTATTCCCTGGGTGCGGCGAGGGGTAAATCCTTTCTCAAGTATGTAGGATTGCAATATTTCTTACTTCTCCATAGAAGTAACTAAAGTAGGATTCACATTTTTGCTTAGAATGTGTTGATCTCTTTGCTTCTGGCTCTCTTTACTCAAAGAGGATGCTCATCCAAAATTTTCAGTTTAAAATGGTTACTTTTTGATTTGTGCAATTGGGATTTATTTCTAAAGATCTGGTGTTCCCCATTGTTCAGGTAGCAAGATGCAGCACTTAATAAAATCGTTTCTGTAGTTGTGACTTGTTTGCATGCAAGCACAAAAAGCTTGAGTACTGGCCTAGAAGATGTGGCAGGTATGCAGGTGCAGCAACAAATGGGGCCTTGTAACAGTGGGGATGGCTCTTCATGTGTAGATTTGGTTGCCTAATGGAAAAGAAAGGACCCCTCCTCGCTGAGCGCTTTTTTCTTACCGCTTTTATGAAAGTACATGCGAATACCCACCAAAGATATGGCAGATTTTTTGAAAACAGAAATGAAATTTTTCAGTAAGGCAAGATGCAGGAGAGGAGACTTTTGAAGAAAACTTCATTCTTTCACAGTTGTTTTTTTCCCTCATTTGGATTGTAAAGTAGTCTCTGCTATATTTTCATAGGTAGAAAATGGAAACTGTATTATTGTGGTTCTTAAAAACCCTTCCCCCAAATATTATAAGAGCTGCGGCAAACCTGCATTTATGTGCGTTCTGCCAAGCAGACGGGTGTGAAGTAACAAAAGCTAGCATGGCCTTTGCTCTCTGCTGATCAAAGCTAGTCTTTTGTGGGTTCAGCCTTGGCCTGCTGCTATTGCCTTAATGCTACTAGTCTAACTGCTTTTCTGAATGTACACTTGGACTGTTTTCTATGTGTTTAAATCTTTACAGGCATTTTAGCATATTTTGGGTATTAATTTCCAACCAAGTGACTCTTTACCAAGGTATACCGGTCTAGATATCTATCCTCTTCTTTGAGAATTTCAAATTTCATTCAATGTTACTTACCATAAATTAACTGTCTGAGATTATCAGCCAGACACTGAGAACTTGAATTTTTGCCCCACTACACTGCTGCAGGCTAGTGCCTGCCTTTTGTCTGTCTTCCCTGCTCCCCTCCCACCAGGTGTCAGGACCCTGCTATTCTGGAATTTGCCGAAATGAATGATGGTTCTGCAGTGTTACTGTCTCTGGATAAGTCAGAAGTTGTGTGGTTGTGCTTTTCAGAGCAGCCCTCCTCTCTGCCTCTCCTTGCCTTCTGCCCACAAAAAGATGCCAAAGCAAAGGCAGTAACATCACATACTGAGGAAATATTTCATGCAGTCACAGGGGAAGTGAAGACAATGTCAGCTGTCAAATCTTATGACAGCTACGTGATTCTTGTAGGAAAGGAATTTAAAAGGAAGCTCAAGTCATGGTGCAATGTGAAAACCAAACCCTAGAATATGGGAATAAACAGATTAAAGAGTTTGTCCAAGAGTGCAAATATTTCTGGCACCGTGCCAGATTTCAGAGAACTTAATAACAGTGCTGTCTGATGAACTGCAAATACTCATCTCTGTCTGTAGTGCTGCAGCTCTGAGGGCTTGGAGCAGGTCTCTGCACTTCACTAGAAATGTCCCTTTTCACCATGAATGGTTGTGTCCAAACCCTGCTGGAGTGACCAGTGCTTCCATCTGGCAAGCACTGCTCTTGTGTCTTTCTCTCTTAAAAAAAAAAAAAAAAAAAGGTATTAAGTCCTCGAGTCTTGTGATAAAGCTATTTGTTCTTGCACTTACATCTGACTCTTTTTTTTCCTCTCATGTTAGGCACATTATAAAATAATCCCTTGCTGCCTTGAAAAATCATATAAACAGAATCCTGGTAGGGTTTTCTCCAGAGCTGTCCTTTGCAGTAGCTGTTCCCCCAGTGCTGAGTACCAAGAGACTCTAGGAGAAACACAACTAATTTGAGTACTTTTGGTTCAAGGGGTTGTAAGGTCACAGAGAAGTGTTTACGAACTCTGAAGCCCCATAGAGACTGGGTGGGGAGCAGTGTGTGTGCCCTGCCCCCTCTTTTTTTAGCTGTAAGATGTTGTGGTCACTATGCAAAGCATGAAGTAGCCCATGTATCAAAAGTACTTAACTGTGTCAGTCACCAGCGAGTGGGGTGCAGCATCCTAAAACACGCAGGTGAATTGTTTGCCTGACAAAGTTCAGAATATCTGCTTGGTTTTGGCAGGAGGACATAGAATGAGTTTGTTGGTTCTCCCTAAATGCTTTCTTATATAGTTTGTATGAGAGAAACAAAAAGCTGCCTTAGAAGTGTCTTGAATACTGAAAACACTCTTATTCTTCTAATTAGCTCATAAACCTGGTCTCTTAAGTGGTAGCACTCTTATCTGGTGGTTAAAAAGAAGAAAAAAACATCTTTGTTTACTCATGGACTATTTTCTATTTATCCTTTTATCAGGGTAAAATAGTGTGTTTTGTTTTATGCAGGACTGATTTCCTGGTGCGGGGGGGAATACATACTTTAAGGCTATTTTGTGGTTTTGTTTAATGGCCCTTGGAAGTGCAGCCGTTTTCTGGTTCCTAATCAAAAATACTTGTCGGGAGGACACCTAGTGGCAAATTGCTGAGATGTAGGGAGGTTCACTAAGACGTGGTGACAGTCTGTGGATACTTGGGAGGGGGAAACACGGTGGGTGTGTGTGTCTTGTGTAGAAATGTTTTTCCTCCTGAAAGCAAGACCTGTGTGTGAAGTCTTCAGGAAACGCTTGAGACTTCCCAGGCTCATATTGTGAAGTGGGTGACACTCTGGTTTCTCTATCAACTGTAAACACATCACAGTTACAGATCGCTGCTATCCAAAGCTGGCAAGAGTGTTTTTATTCTTGAATCACTTCATTCAGTTTCATCATTTGATCATTTTACAGTTACCAAAAAGTATAATCTTCAGAAAACACAGAATATTCAGGATTTTTCCTCTGACTGCAGCTAAGGGTGTTTGCTGGCCAAAGTTCCCACCACCATGGGAGAGGTGGTGTTCATATTGAGGCTGACAGTTTAGGAAAGGAGCTCTGGAAGGGACAAGAAAAGGTGGGAGGGGTGGGGAGATGGGAGGTCACCTAAACATTTTGTGTCAACAAGAGTTGGTTTGTGTTTTGCCTTTGAGGCTGAGTGGGGGTTATTAGAGCAGACAAATAAAGAACTGTATGCAGCTTTACCTGGTGTTTCTCTGTGTTGTATTAATGAACTTCCATCCCTGAACAGCCTTCTTTCTTCATTCTGCTGTTGCTGTTCCCATTCGCTCCTTTGCCCTCTTCTTTCAGTTTATGCTTCCCCTGCCTTCCTTTATATAATCCCTTTGTAGCCTTTCTGTTTCTTTTTGTCATCTCCCCTCCCCAGTGCGGAAAGGATATTGCCTCTGCTACTCTGTTTTTATTTTCTTGTGTCCTTCCCCATAGTCCTTATCTTTCCGTTTTTTTTTGTTGCAAGTTCTTGAAGGTCCTCTATTTGTGCACCCAACACCTAGCATGGTGAAGCCTTGCTCTTTGGTCTTTAAATG